TTTAAGGAGAGTCCTCATGGTAATGCGGCTCATGCCAATGAATGATCTAAATAATTTAAGGGTTTTATTATTATCATATTACATAACTCATAAAAATTTTTCTATACACACAATTAAGAGGTGGTGTCCACATATTTTTTTTTCTCTTTCATCATTCCACCTTCTCTCTTTTCTTTATTGTGAGGGTAGGAAAATATTCTTATATCATGTAACATTATAGTAATCAAACCCATAATTTAAAACTAATTCATTTCGGATTAGCTGTAATGTTCTATACTTTTAATGTCATTATATAGGACTGTTAATTCACTGTTCTTTTGCTTTTGGGGTCTTCTGCACTTTTCCTATGGCTATGGAAGAAAACCTACTCAAGCATTAAAAAAAACAATAGCATCAATTTTTCTATGTTCCATATGAATAACAATTTCTTGCTTTTGTTCCATTCATAGACCTGAAAAATCAGACCAAAACCCCGGTTTCCTTAAAACGAAAGAAAATAAGGATTGTTCTTCTGCTAGCCATGGTCCTTGTATCGGCGAGAATGTTTCATATTTTTGTCCTCATTGACCAGTTCAAGGTTGTACTTGTATCCGTCTTTATCGGTTTGGATCAAAACTGGTGTTACACTTCATTTTCAGCTGCTCTGGCCCTTGAGAAGAGGTCGCATTCTATGTCTTCAAGACTTCAACCACATCGCTCAAAGTTCTAAAATCTAAAGTAATTTTTTTTTTTTTTACAAATTACATTATGTAACAGTGATAGTACGCAATTGTTGGAATATACTATTCTTAGTACATAATGTAGTTTGTAAATAAATTTTTTTATAAATATAACTTTTTCATATATAAATCAAATATTATTATATTGATTTATCTGGTATAACAAAACTATAATAATTAATTATCAGCAAATCTATTATGTTTTGAGCTGAAAGAGGGAACATATAATGAAACAACTACATCTTGAAGATTGATTTCTACACACAAACATAAGTTTAGATGATCAAGCATTATATTTTCCCTAATTAAATATCTCGAATTCAAATTCTTATTCTGAACTAGATCATTGAGCTTCATTCTAAGTTCAATATCCATTTTTCACTACATGACAAAAATATTATTTTTCACAAAATATTTCCACTATCATGTCAAGTAATTATTTTTGATAAAATATTCTATCACTTTTTGTAACATTTCACCACACGTCTGGGTCCTACTCTCCATCTCAAATTGCATTTGGATCTTCTTCCTCAGCATCAACGTCATGCACCACCCTATTTTCTACATTGTATATATGACAGAAACCATCATACATTCTCCTCAATCGATTTCACAAATAACTAATTATTCTTGTACCAACACTTTTAGGGGGCGTTTGGTACATGAGAATTTTTTTTTTTTTATCTTGGAATCATGATTACTGAAAATATGGTCGGGAATTGAGTTTTCTGAAAATGTTACCAAAAGACTGCTTGTTTAGTCAAAATATTACCGAAAATATTTATGGGAATATGGGTTATTTTACAAAAATAACCCCTTAGTATTTTAAAAAAAATTAAATAAAAAGATGACCCATTTGTACAAATCTAAGCACAGACTAGAAAACGAGTTCCATTTTTGTAGCGCTGGTGTATAGCTCAGTTACGCTTTAGACGAAGCTTCCCTTCCCAAAAAAATAATTAAAATGACTTATTTCATAAGCTCACATCAGAACCTCAGGACTAAAATGACAAAATACTAGGAAGAAGTCGTTCCTTTTTTCATATATAAAGACGAAACATGCAATACTAGAAATTTTAAAAAATGGGGAAAAAAGAAATTGAACTCATGGAGCCAAGTAACACAATTCACCGTCGAGAACCAGTAAAACAAAATCGGTTTGTTGCTGACCAACAAATCAAAGTAAACTCACCAGCTGTGAAGCTTTACTGCCAACAAACAAAAGGAGCGAGGAAATAGGGAAGTTTTGCTGAATATATACCAGTTGCAGGGTATTTTTGTCTCAGATTTGCTTTTCCATTTTCCGTAGAAGTGAGATTTGTCAAATACCACATTTTTTTGGTAATCGCAAATGACACTTTTCTTTGTAAATGAAAATACCTGTAAACAAAGATATCTGGGTAAAAATTTCGGTTATCTTGTACCAAACATGTCATTTAATGATTACCAATGATCCTTTCCCAGTAATATTCACAAATACCGTGTACCAAACACACCCTCTAAGTTGGCCTAGACAGCAATAACCCATCCCCTCACGGGATATACATTTCTGGTCAACAACTTAGACCAAAACCTCTAGAGGGGCGTTTACTGGCAATTTATTTTTACTCGGGAATCACGATTACTGGGAACATGGTGGAAAAGTTAGTTTTTTGAGAATGTAATGAAAAAATTGTTTTGTAGGTCAAAATATTACTGAGAATATTAGCTAAATTTCATAAGTGCATGTTTGGTAGATGATTAAATTTTGCTGGGAATATGAGATGAATTTACGAAAATAACCTCATAACACAGCTTTTTAGAAACACACAATTAGAAACAAAAAAAAATACACAGTTGCGCAACGAACGACCGTGACCTCTTCCAACACTGTATCGATCTTCACCAAAGTCATTAAGATGTTATTGTCATCATAATTTATCTCCCAAATCCATCATTCCAGCAAAAACAAAAAAACTCACGAGGGTTTAGGGTTTTTGAGACGACAGACTGCAAGATAATAGCTTGGATGGTTTTGTAACGATGAGTGAGGCGACGAAGCACAAGGACCATTCGATCAAAGTCCCGAAGTTGATCGTGTCGTTGGCCAGACCACAAGAACAATGACAGAGCAATCAAATCAGATGGGCACCTCGACAACGTGGAATCCACACGATCATTGTTCAAAACCCTTTTCCTTTTCGTTCTCGTTTTTGTTTTCATTTTTTTGGAGAAAGGGAAACTGCCAACAAGGACACAAAACACAAGTCAATGTTTGTGATCTCAACATATCAGAATAGCTCACGAGGGTATTTCAGTCCGAGAATTATGTGTCTTAAAATTTACCCCGACAAATTTTTAGTTTTCCTTGTACCAAACGAGGGAAACTTTTTTTCCCAATCCCACTTTCCCAGGATTTCTAAATAATACCATATACTAAACACCACCTTAAGTTTATTTTTGGTAGATAACAATTGGTTCTGATATTCTAATTGGGCCGATTAATTCGATTTCGAGTTTGAGCTTCTTCATTTTTCAGAGAAAATATGACCCTAAGAAATTAAACCCACTACCATTTGAGTAGGTCAAATCTTGGAGTCTAACTCGATTGCCATTAGACAAACAATTCTTTATATCTACTTTTTAAAATTCAAGAGAATGGGTTTTATTAATACCAAGTCATTCATTATTTTAAATTTTTAAAAATATATAATAATACTTCATTAAGTAATCATAATAATTTAACTAAATTTACTGAAACAAAAACCAATAATATCAAGCTCAGACCTAGTTATACAGTAATTATTATAGTGTACAATAAAAAAATCAAATGAAACTAGTGAGAGTGATGTAATAATCTCTTAGGTTGTGTTTGGTTGGGGAGAAGGAAAAACTTTCCTGGCCAAGTGATGGTGGGAATGTGAGTTATCAACGTTTGGTTGGGGATTTTTGTTAAAGTTTGCCATCAATCCCACTTGCCCTGCAATGCAAGAGGAAGTGTAAAAATCAGATTTTAGCACTGTTGGAGATTACCTTTCAACGGGTGGAATTGTGTGAGGAAATCTGATATCTGAAAAAGGTGGATAATGGGGTGACAAATATACCCCTCCTCCATTTTATTGTGGTTCGTATTTTGTAATAAAATAACAGGTTTTTTAAATAAGGATAGTTTTGTAATTTCAAACAATTTTTCCATCAAAATTCTATCTTCAACTAAACATACACTCAGAAAATTTAACCCAATTTCTCCGGTAAACTTTTGCCGAACCAAACAGCTTTTTTTACATTTTCCTATCAAACTCACTTTCCAACCATTTTCCTATCAATTACATTTCCCTAGTATTCAAAAAATTTCTCCCCAACCAAACACTACCTTAAGTAATCGAATGAATGCAATTCAGTTGGTAATATAAATTGAGTAGGTGAGAAAAAATAAATCTAAATTCAGAGCTTTATTTATGACTAAGCCTGACTCAAAATTAATTCCCCGTAAGATACTCGTATTCGATTAAGCTATAGAGATAATTATGATTGGTATAAAAAAAAGTTTTTGTATTTTTTTATTTGACAATTTGGTAGCTAAAAAACTATCGTTTGGGGTTTGTTAAATGTTAGAGAGTAGAGTTGTAAATGAGTTAGTCGGCCTAAGAGAGGCTTTTGACTCAACTTATTACATATAGTCAAATATAATAGACTCAGGCTTTATAAAAAATCTATTTAAAAAGTAAGGCATAAATTTTCTTTTGCATGCTGGACTTATAAACCTAAATGCTGACCTATATTATATTATTTATTTTTAAACCAAATAAATAAATTATTATTTAAATAATTTTAAATAATAAATTAATATTAAATATTTTTTTTAATTATTAAATATCTAATAAATTTGAACAGATGAATAGACCTAGGTCAATTTTTTTTTTTTAAAAATATAAATCAAACAAAACTTATAATTGAAGCCTACGCAAAATTAATACACGAGTTCAATCCTAAAATATTTCTATATATTTAAGCCAAAGCCTATAGCCTATATACACCGGTCAGAGGTTACTTCGTCTCACTTAGCTGTAATTCTTGTGGCCAATTTGCCATCGTGACATCTTCATAGGTGGAGAATGGAGATGCTAGAATGCGCATAGGCGGAGGAACAATAAAAGTTATCTTCAAAAGACATATGGAGTTTAGGAACCCACAATAGTCGGAAGTACAAGGTTGTAACCACATCCAGCTTGTATCTTAGTCCTAGTGTTCTGGTCTCGTCAATGCAATTTTTCATTATTATTTTTTCTTTTTGAAAAAATAAAATAAAATAAGCACCGTTCTTTTCTCTCTAAAATCTCCATGTTCTTTCACTCGTGAGCTTTGGACGAGATCCCTTTCTCTCCCATTTCCATTTTCATTTCCGATCTCTCTCTCTCTCTCTCTCTCTCTCTTACCGTTTTGTTTTCGTTTGTTTTGCATTTTCTCTTTCAGAGATAGAATATCGTTTTTCGTGAGTGTTGCAAGAGATTCATCAATTGATCAAAATAAAATAAAATAGAAATTGAAAGTTGATGGCTGCTCCAACGGCAAGGGCTCGTGCCGATTACGATTACCTCATAAAGCTTCTCTTGATCGGCGACAGTGGTAAAGTGTTCTTATTATTTTATTTTATTTTTAGCGAAAATTTTGAAAATAAAAAAAAACACTTGTGATAAAGATAAATAGACAAGTAAAAACCGAATGTGATATTGGAATGGGGCTATTTTTCTTTATATCTCAAATCGTTGAGATTTTTGTTGTTTGACAAATGTAGGTCTATTTTTTTGAATTGGGATTTGTTGTAAATTGTGAAATGTTTGATCTTTTCATGATCTTGTTTGAGCGAGGATTTTAATCACTCTTTCTGTTATTGTAATGCAATTATGGTATCAAGAGGTTGAATTGCGAATTCGTCCTGATCTTAGTTTGACATTTTCTAGCAAATTTTTGTGGTTAACGTTTAAAGTTAAGTTTCTCTGCGATCCATTAATTATTTGTTTAATTCAAATTACTTTGCTTACTAAATGAGGCCTTCGATTTTTTTCCACTGAACAGAAGAAATATGGCATTAGTTGATGTTTCACAAAAGATTTGAAGTACTTTAACAGCAATTGTAGGAACCACGGTGGAATAGTTGTGTTGCTTTTGCGTATAAATATACCTGGATTTACCACAATTAACCTCTTCTGTTACTGTCTTTTGCAGGTGTTGGAAAAAGTTGCCTCCTCCTGCGTTTCTCTGATGGTTCATTCACTACTAGTTTCATCACAACCATAGGGTACATTTTTACAATTCTGGAGTAAAACTGCTGAATTTTTGTTTACCAGAAGTTTCTCTAACATCACAAGGTCTTCCTTCCTGATGCAGCATTGATTTTAAGATAAGAACCATTGAGCTTGATGGCAAACGGATCAAGCTCCAAATTTGGGATACTGCAGGTCAGGAGCGGTTTCGGACAATTACAACTGGTAAGGTTTATGATCCTTACAGGTACTATGATATTGATTTTGCGACACATGGAAACATGTTGCTTGGCAGTTGGCATGGTTTATGTAGTAGTGAAAAAAAGGAAGCAATAGTATAGAGAAAAATATAAACATAAAAGAAAATTAGAGAAAAGAACGACACGATAGAAAAAGGATGTAACCACTGACAAAAATACCATAATTCTTACTAAGGGTCATATCTGATGTGCCAGACTATGTAGGCAGTTCACATTTCAAGTTTAAAAGCAATAATTCTGAATTCCTAGGATTAAGACAAATACTGAATCCCCAAAATTATGTCCCATGCCGAAGCCTAAAATAGTCTACAGCTCCTTGTTTTGATTCCCATTGCTTCCACTGCCAACCTTGTAGAATTTATAGGCAAAAAAGTTTTTGGGAGGCAAGGAGCATCTTCCATTTGGAATTTTTATTTGAGTTAATGGTTGATTGTTATTGATGTAAAGATACTAGAACTAGTGAGCTGTTATTCAGTTTATTACGGCGACTCCTTTAGTATTGACGTGTCATGAGTTAAACTCCAGATATAAGTGTCCTTTGCCATTGTTTCATTCATGCTACCCTAAATTTCTTGTATCCTTGATTCTTTTTAAAATTTTGTGGAAGTGAGAGATTGAGAGTACTTGTCATTTAAGTTATTTTGTGAGATATATAGTTTCCTAAAATCTGTGTTTTTTGCAGCTTACTATCGTGGTGCTATGGGCATATTGCTAGTCTATGATGTTACAGATGAAGCTTCATTTAACAGTAAAGTTTCTAGCTGTTGCTTAAGTTTGAAATTTGCATACCAGTGCAAAATTCTTAAAAGTTAGAACTTTAAAGGTTTCTCCATCTGGAATATTCACCTAGCTTCTCTGTTAATTTCAGACATCAGGAATTGGATTCGCAACATTGAGCAACATGCTTCAGACAATGTTAACAAAATACTGGTGGGGAACAAAGCTGACATGGATGAAAGCAAAAGGGTATGTGATGGAACCCAGAAATTCACAGCAAGAATATCAACAATTAATAGTAAAATAACACTTCTATTAACAATACAGGAAATACAACGATGAAAATACATAAAAGATAAACCAAAGGTCTCAACTTACCCTCAAAGCCAAAGACCTAGGCCTTAAGAGATCCCTAGAGATCCTTTTCCCAATTCCCATTTCACTGAATACATGCATAACAGAAACATCACCCTAAACTTCTATATATACTAATCCTAACTTAAGATACCAATGGGCTTGGATTATATATTATAGGCCCATCGATACTCCCCTTCCGAAACTCACCTTGTCCTCAAGGTGAAGAAAAAGGATAAGTGATATGATAGAACTACCACCAAGATCTCATTGCTTGAAGCACCAAGACCACATTGGAAGCTTCAATTCTATTTTCTTTCCATGAAACTCACCCGTCAACTTCAACAAATTGCTGGAAGTGAGACCCACAATAATGAGGACGCTCAACCGAAGAGTCTTGCCGTCTTCCATGCCTTCACTGTTGCAAAATTGCTCTTCCCCTTCAAGCACAAGTTCGTCAATACCCACCCAAAATAATGTGGAGGTGCTGGTTTTGGTAGATTTGATCTGGTGACAAATGAGCATTGCTCTTGAAGCGTACATTTCTGCGTTTGTCATTTAGCTCCTCAGGTGAGAGTCACCTGAATCTTGCCCCACGACTGCCATTAATAGAGTTAGGATTGCCTCCTCCCCCAACAACATTTGGTTCATTTAATGCGCTGGCTTGTGTTCGAATTCCATCAGAATTAGAGTGACCCAAATTGTTTGAGTGACCCAGATTTTTGATTATTCCCTCTGTTTTGGGATGAGGAGCACGTGCCTGTTCCATCTGGCCCATTATGCTCATCTTTATTTTTAATATTGGGTCTTGTTGAGATATATAAAATCATTAATTTAGCCTCACCCAATAGCTTAAGCTTTTGGGTCGAATTGGTTCTTTACATGGTATCAGAGCCGGTGTACCGGGTTCGATTCTCGCCGCCTCCTACTTTCTTTCTAGTGGAATTTCTTTCTTCGCACAGGTAGGTGGACCTGCGCATTGTCCACCCTTCAAGCCCAGTGGGCTCTCGTGTAAGGGGGCGTGTTGAGATATATAAAACCATTAATTTTGCCTCACCCAATAGCTTAAGTTTTTGGGTTGAATTGGTTCTTTATAGGTCTCTCATACAAGTGGTAGCCTTGTTATGCAAAGCTGAATGTGTATTCACCCCAACAATCATCCCACTCCCGATGCCCAGAATCCCCATCATTGTTCCCAACCTCTCTCTCACTCTCCCTTTCTTCATCGTCGTTCCCAATGCCCGCACGTCTCTGCGCTGAAGACAACATTTCCACATGATGAAGACACAATTCTGATCTCACGATCGCCTTTTGTCCAACTTCTTTCTCTTCTTCTTCTTTGTTCTCTATTTCCTCTTCTTTTTCTGCACTTGTTGCATCTTCTACTTTGTTGCTGATTTCTTCTTCTTCTTTGCTGATTTCATCTCTTTCTTCTTCTACTTTGTTTTTATGAGCTTAGATATGCTCTTTCTCGTTCTTCGTCTTCTTGCGTTTCTTCCTCTTCTTTTTCTTCTTCTCTAGTTTCTTCTGCACCTTCAACTTCGTCCGATGCTTCATCACTGTGTCGATTTATTTCTTTCGCCTCTGTTGCTGCTTTTTCTTCTTCATCTACCACAAAAATCTCAGATAGATATTTATTTATAAATGCTCTGGTAAAATCCCACAATTTTGCATTAGGATTGAGACAATTCCAACACCTATACCAGTAGAGCGCACATCCTCTAAGCCCATGCAGAATTTCTGCCAATTGTTCATCTTCTTCATTTATTTGCTTTTCTTGAAAATGTTGTTCCATAGCAATTTTCAATCCCCAAGCGTCGTATCCCTCTCCTTAAAATTTTGGAACCATTATAAATCTGGATTCTTTTTTTTTTTTTTTTTTTTTTTCCAGATCTGGACCAGAAAGCACCCCCTAGATCGGAAGTTATCTGATACCAAATTGATGGAATCCAAAAATTCACAGCAAGAATAACAACAATTAACAGTAAAATAACACTTCTATTAACAACAATACTGGAAATACAGAAAAGATAAACCAAAGGTCTCAACTTACCCTCAAAGCCAAAGACCTGGGCCTTAAGAGATCCCTAAAGATCCTTTTCCCAATTCCTATTTCACTGAATACATGCATAACAGAAACATCACCCTAAACTTCTATATATACTAATCCTAGCTTAAGATACTAATGGGCTTGAATTATATATTATAGGCCCATCAGTATGCAAACTTTGTTGGCAATGTTTAATGAAAGCCTTGCTTTATTCATTTTTTCCCTCCTGCTCTCTCTCCCTTTTTGAGTGGGGTTACAAGAGCAAATTGAAGGGGTTACAAGAGCAAATTGAAGATCTTCTACCAAACACCAATTTGATTTTGAACAACAGAGTTGCAGAGCTAAATGCAAAGGAGCTTAAAAAATCAACCATTACTGTCATCAAATGTACTTCCTTCATTGTTATTCAAGTTTTACTGATGGTTGAATTGCATCGTTACGGATGTTAGAGAAACCATGTTATGTGAATGAATGGCACATTTTTTGTTAGCGGGAGAGGGAGGTTTGAAGGGGGTTGAGTTTCGATTTGATACCATCAATTGAATTAGTAAATCTGGGAGCATCCTCTCTCTTATCTATGTATACATACCTGCACTTCCGATTTGTGATGTTTGTGATCATATGTATGCCTTTGTTTTTTTTTTTAGGCTGTGCCAAAGTCCAAGGGCCAAGCACTAGCTGATGAGTATGGAATCAAATTCTTTGAAACTGTAAGTGGTGTATACTTGAGAATGTGAAAACTCACTGAACTTTTATGTTAGTATTATGCTCATGCAATATATGCTATTGCAGAGTGCAAAGACAAATCTAAATGTGGAGGAAGTTTTCTTCTCAATAGCAAGAGATATAAAACAAAGGCTTGCTGACACTGACTCTAAGGCAGAGGTATTTGAACTTCCTCTCACTAGTTTAATGTGTTAATACTATAGTTCCTCTCCTTCAAACCTCTTCTCTCCCTCTCACAAATTCAATTTCTCATGATATTTTCATTGCAGCCATCAACAATCAAAATCAACCAAAATCAGGCAGCGGGAGCTGGGGAGGCTGCACAAAAATCCGCATGTTGTGGTTGAGGACAAATTTTAGAAATTGGAGGCAACAATGCAGTCCAAGAACAAGATTGAAGGAACAAATTAATTGTATGATGATCATGATGCTGAATTGTGCTTAACGTTTTTGAGGTGTCATTCTTTATAAATTTTAGGTGTGATAAGTAGTTTCTGACTTTTCAACAAGTGATATTAAATCCAAAACTAGATGTGATTGTGGCGAATGCATGTCTAACCGTTCCTTACTTTGTTTGGTTGGGTCGTGAGATCCATTGAATATTGATTTTTTATTTTCTTTTACTGTATAAATGCGCTGATGGCTTGTGGATTGGAGTAAATACACATTTCGAAATCGGGTTCTCTGCCTATTTGCAATACGGGGAATTTATACAATACAGCCTGTATAATCAATTACTTAACATAAAGTTAAAGTTGATATAAAAAAATATGAAGCCTAATAAAAAAAAATCAGGCGTAATACCTACGGATAGAAAATTAGTACTCTTGCGTCGTGACTCACCTTCCTTCAAAATGCGTAATAATGCTGCCTAAGGGTTTTTTTTTATTCTTTTGCTCCTTCATTAATTAATTAATAACTATTTTGTTCCTTATTCAAAATTATCTATCAATCTGCTCCTTCTTAATCGATTAACTTGAAAATTTAATCGATTAAATGGTTAAAACTGGCAAAAATGGTTGACTTGAAGATTTAATTGATTAAATATCCCTCTTAATTGATTAAATCGATTAAAACTTATATTTTATCAATTAAATATCCCAAATGAGCGTGAGAGCATTGATTGAATGAGACAAACACGGTATTGGAGGTTATTTGAATTTAATGTAATAGGAGTGATTGCGATTTGTATTTAATAGGAGCTGATTGCTTCCTATTAAATACAAAACGCAATATTTAATAGGAGCTGATTGCTTCCTATTAAATACAAAACGCAATCAGCTCTTATTAAATACAAATCCCAATCAACTTCTATTACATTAAATTCAAAATTCAAATAACCTCCAATACACGAAAAACTGATTGAAGATTCTGCTAAGTTTTTTATGATGAATATGCAAGACGGGAAGGGTTCGTTGTTCGCCTTGATCGCAGTCATCGTTCCGAGGTTGACAATAGAATCATTTCGCGCCGTTTTTCAAGTAATAAACAAGGTTTCATGTGAGAGGTAGAAATGGTGCCAGACCTGTTCATGTAAATCAATCCAGTTTTCAAGAATCGTTTTTTTTTTTCGTGCTATTGCTAAATCAAACCATTAACAATGTTTGCATTTGCTTATCTATGCAAAAAGACAAAAAAATACCGTAACTACTACAGATAGATTTTAACCATCAACCAATACATTAGAACTCAAATTCTCTTAAAGAACTGAAAGTATTTCATATTTAAAATAAAAAATTAAAAAGTTCTCAATTTCGAAGAATCGTTCTTCTTTTGTTGGTTTCTTTGTTTGTTTGGTTATCTATGCTTGTTGATTTGCTTCATATGTATGGAATCTGCTTTTGTTTATGGAGGAGATTTTTTTTTTTTTTTGATAACATTTATGGAGGAGATTTAACCTTTGTTGCCTGTTGAGAGATTTAATCGATCAACTTGAAGATATAATCGATTAAATCTTTAAGTCGACCATTTTTGTCAGTTTTGACCATTTAATCGATTAAATCTTCAAGTTAATCGATTAAAGAAGGACAACTAGGTAGATAATTTTGAATAAGGAACAAAATAATTATTAATTAATTAACGAAGAGTAAAAACCTGCATAAGGTGTATTTTTGCGTAGACTATTCAAAATGCGTAAATATGCTGCGAGAGAAATTAACATGCAATTTTCGGTAAAATTATAAATGCATATCAATTCGTCCGCGGCTCGTTATTTCATATATTCATTATTTAAGATTATAATAAAGAACGGTCTCATGAATATTTATCATTATCCATTTGTATTCTTCCTAGAAACAAAATTGTGCTGCAGCACCTCATCCTTCACATTTCACACAATGTGCGAAAGCACATGCAAACAGAAGTTATTGCCCTCCTTCAATTGCATACCAATCGTTTATCTTCTACCCTAGAATCCATTGCCAATCTAACGGGAACCACTAAAATACTTGAGCAAATTTACTACTTGATTGATGCTTGTAACATTACCACTAGACCAACTCTTAGGTTTGTCATAATGTTTTTAAATTTATATTATATTTATACATTATTATATAAATTCAATTAAACCTAATCAACCAATATGATTCACTGATTGAATAGTGACCCATTAATCCATTATCTAAGTTTACTACCAATCAGAGTTTAACAACAATTCAAAACAGTTGCATGAAACTTCACGAGTTCAGTCCAGTGCCCCAAAATTAACAAGCTAATAAGTCTTGCTCCTTTCAGTAACAAAAGAACATTAGCTTTCTCGGTAATGTTATAGATAATTCTATCTACCAAAGCCACCTAATTCCACTGATTTGTACAAAAGCTGTTATAAAACCTCCAATATTTTAAGCAAGGCCACAAAGGCACACAATGCACTGAAGGCTGCGGAGCCTGAAAAAGATACAGGAAAAATTCTAAAAATGATATATCTTACTATGCACACTAGTCTCTAACCTAAGTTACGTTTTCACAAAGGCTTGGGACTTATAGGTTAAGTTCTTCCTTTCCGTAAATGCGTTGAAGCTCTCTAGTTGCTGCTTGAAATGATTCTGAAGAAAGTTGGAGTAAAAACATTGGGTAAGTGACGCAGAAAACAAATCCAAAGAATTAAACCTAGCCTACCAAGGCGAGGATGTGTTTTGTTAGTGTATAAGGTGGACAGGAGAGGAATTTCTTTACCTTTCCAACTGCGAAATGCTTTCTGATTGATTGGTGCACCAAAAACTGTTTGAATTGTATCAAACAACAAACTTTCTGGGGTACTCCTCAATTCCTGTACTATTTGATAAATGGTCTTCCCATTCTCAAAATAAATATGGTTGTTTGGATGTTTTGTTTTGCAACCAGCATGTCTCTCAAATTCATAAGCATTCAAAACCTGATAACGTAAAGTATCAGTCAATAAGTAAGCTATCCAAGAAATTAAGAAATTGAAAAGCCATTATTAAGGTGTTTGGTCACGGTGTGTACCAGTGGATTACTAACCTTGGAATAGTTACATGACTGACACCCACAAAGATAGCCAGAGCCTTTTATAATTCCACGATGTTCCTTCACCCAAGCAGGAATATAACTACAACTTATTAAACAGCACTTCAAATTTGAAATAATTAACAACAAAGACCAAAATTTACCTCCCGCGCCCCTGAGACATACTTTACAGGAACACCATCAAGCATACCAGTAGATATCAAGCTCCTGACATTAGAAGGGAAACTGTTTGGAGCTTCTTTCCTTGCAGTTTTGAACTCTTGTTTATTCTTTGCCATAGTTTCAGACTTTACTTTTACTATCTGATGCGTACTTGCGACTACATCAGAATTTGATGCATACAACTCTTTCTCATGAGCTGTTGTTGACACATGAACTGAAGATTGATTATATGATTGACCGTACTCTGCAGCAGGCCTTCCCACAGAGATAATATCCCGTTCATCAGGGAACCCACCAAAAGAAATTATATTTGTGTCCTCTTTGTTATAGGATTCACCAATTGATATGATTGAGTCATCTCCTTTGCCAAAAGGGGCACCAAATGATCTAACATGGGCATCATCCCCTCTGCTGTAGCTGAGTCCCATTAAAGTGACATCACCATCCTTGTCAAAGGCTTGCCCTATTGATGCAGACCTTCCCTCAACTTCCCCATTATAGGCCTGATGTGGATCGCCATTACTCTGTCTACTAAAATTATGTCCCTCCGGATCCGGTACATCATCAAAATCCTTAACCTGATTTACTTTGACTTTTTTGATTCCACCAAAATTTATACATGCTTCAGAATCTACGACGGAATGAGATATAGACAAGCCAAAAGATGCATCATCTCCATATTGATTGGTGATCATCTTTGATCTCATATCAGAATCATCAGCCGGAACATAAGTATTCTTTTCGGTGAAATTGACAGGCCTAGTTTCAGATCCAAATAACCGACCAATGAAATGGCTTGGGACTGAATGAAAATTGGAATCATTCTCCCATGGAGAAAAATTTACATTTGAAAGTCCTGAACTAGATTTTTCATTCGCATCTTCTAAAGCTTGTTTTTTGTTTGGAAAAAAATCAACTTCAGCAGCATCAGCAAACCACTGATGAGGTCGTTTTGATTCAATTTTGGAAGGATTATCAAATGCAGTCTCCCTGTCATTAATGTGTCCAGAACCCTTTACCATCCAAAATCCCTTGTTTTGTAAAGACTGGAGAAAAAAAAAAATCAACAATGCTTCAGATATAACTGAAAATCTTAAATAAATTGCTGTCATTCAATTAATCAAACTGATGCAGGATAACGGAGTTCAATTACATTCTATAAAAACAAGGGGATTTTTTTTTTTTTTTGGGGGGGTGGGGGGAGGAATAATTATAATTAATCTGTTTTGTGACAATGTGATTATTTTTTTGAGATGTAAGTGGGCTATCTTAGGCAATTATAAGTAAATTATGGTAGGATTAGAGTCCTATTAGTATACAAAGGATTAGGGAAGTCCTTGAAGATTGTTCACTCAAGTTCCATAATGCCTATAAAAGGGCTTGTTATGTATAAAACGGGATAAAACTTATATTTTTAGTTATTTATTATTACAAGGGTTTTCCATATTTCATCTGGTGAATTCCAGAGTTTCAACCTGATGACTCCAGGTGGCTCCTATTCTTTTTCCTTCCATGCTTCTATTATGTGTCAATTAGTGCCTTGTTTATTCATCCCCGGAGTGGATGAAGTGCTCTTTTGCATGACCTAATGTGGTTGATGCAGGAGCACAAGATAAAAATTCAATGATGTCTGCCAAAGGAAATTGGATTACAGCAGACATAGAAGATTAAAAAAAAATCTGAAAAGAAGGAGATAAACCTAGGATGCACCTAAGTTTTGATTGAGTAAAACAACCAGGTAGATTGCAATTTGCTTAAAATCTCATAGACTGAACGTTAAATAAAGCATTAAAATTGTTTAAATAAACTTGCTAAGACTTATCCCACAAATTTGAGCTTCCTTAAATAATTAAGAAACTCAGGCTTTATAACTAGCTCATTTAGAAGTAGCTTTTCTGTAAGGCATTTGTTCATAAGCTATTTTCATATAAGCCCTTATTTCAGTTGTTTATCCAAACAGGGTCGTATACCAAAGGTTCAGTATTTATATTTTATCTAATTACATGAAGCCTCTCGTGTCATTTATGATATGAATTTGGTTCCTCTAAAGTGAGAGGTTCCCTGCAGAAGAAAAAGTGAAGGATCTCAGCTATTGATGAGAAAATCAATGGGAGTGGACTTTTAACAAATCCATAGTTTTTTATACACGTGCAAATATTTTATCATATTATCAATAGTTGGTTTTCTCATCAATGGTTGAGATTGAGATACCCCACTTTTTCCTCTAAAAAGTCCTTATGATATAGATTTTGCTGTGTGATGTGCCCAATGTCAATTTTGTATACTTTAAAGACCCTAAAGCCTTAACATTGCCCCCCAAAGACAAAGAAAGCATCAGAATTCAGAAGCTCCTTGATACCAATTTCCAATAACAAACATACAACAACAGCACTAAGCAACACTTACAATACAATGTGTACTCCACAAATTGTGAGAGGGATTCAGTTCCTAACAAAGGAACAGAACGTACAATACAAAATCTTAAGCGAAAAGAAAGAGAGTGAGGAAAGCAGAATCTACTCAATCCAGTAAAAATTAATAATTATAAATACCATTTGCTTCAAATTTTTTCAGGTGAAAAATATTCCCGAAAAATCCACTGCAAAATTTGTTGCTGACTTCAATGGATAATTTCTCTTAGTTCCCAAAGCTGTGCTTAACAACTCCTGCAACAAGAGAAAGCCCCTTTCATGTACAGTAACACGGTTCAATCAAACACATCCTTCAAGGACAACATTGGAATAACATAGGAAAAAGCAAACACAGACACAGCAGCAAGTGGCCAAAGGGAATAAAAAAAATTAATTAAGAAGAATGAACGAATGCTCGCATTAATCATATTTTTTAAATAAAGAAAATTACGACACTACGTATCAAGCAAAGGAACTCTCACCAAACAAAATTACTATAAATTCAAATAAAAATAAATAAATCAACAAGTGCGAATATTCGAGCTAAAGAATTGCGAGCAATAAGTTAACTTGGCAAATGGATAGAAGCTTTGGGAAGGTTAAAGAATCCGTACCCTCGGCGATGGCCGGAAACCTGATCGGAAGAACTTTCTGACGCCGGTGAACGCAGAACGCTTTTCAAAGAGGGAAGAGATTCATACGATAGGGTGTGCGAGGAGCACTCGATCTTTTCTCGTTCAAGGGATTTAAGATAGGGTGAACCTGAGTTGAGCACAACTCACGGTTGGGTCACTAGATGACGTACACGTGGCTCATATATAATAAATCTGGACCGTTGGTTATGCGGAGCAACTTCAACGACACCCAATTGGTTCGGCGTAGGAGAAACTACAGGAGGAGAAATTTTATACAAAAATCCAATTAAAAATTTAAACTGTAGCTCATGCCACGTAGTTGAATTGAATATGGATTTTATAATTATCAAGTTATATTAAAATTGAAACATTATATTGTAGAGAAAAAAAATACGTGGGATTTATATGTCAGAAAAGTTACGTGTAAAACCCACCCAAGTCAGCATAGAAATCAAAAAATATGTAAGAAGATTTCAATTCTCGATATTGAATGATAATTATAAAATCGATTGAATATATGCGTATAGATTAATTTTAGTAGTTGTCTAACACTATGAAAATTAAGTTTTAAAGTTACGGTTCATCATCAAATATCTAATAATTTATCACTAAATATGTGGATTAACTGATAAGAGATTTGTTCAAACTTAATCAATCGTCTCGAGTTTAAGTTCCTAAAATTACAACTGTATTAAAATTTAGTAGGAAAAATTTTATCACCCATATTTGATGAACCCAGAGGCGGACTGGTGTTGTTGCATCAAATGCAGACACAAAAATTTGAAATTTTTTTTTAAAGAGGTGAGTGATTTAAGTTAAGTAAAAAAAATAAAAATTAGAAAGATTGAAAAAAAAAAAAAAAGTAAAAATACGCCCAAGCCCAACCCAACCAACCCATATAATTAAAAGTTTAAAGCTTAAATACTATCTCGTTGCTTTGTCTCCTCTTCTTTTTTTGAAAGATAAACCTTATTAGCTCCAAATTTTAATGGACATCAATGATTCCTGAAATTCAATCTTCATCAAGTGGAGGAGAATCGCATGAGATTTTTCACATTTTTTTTGAAGCAAAAGTAGTTAACTTTGGATCAAATAGACATCGATAGAGGTTAATTTTTTATCAATTAACCCAACAATTAATACATTTAAAATTTTCTTTAAAAAAATCTTCGGAGGCACTGCCCTCAAACTCCCACCTTAAGTATGCACACATAATTTTTTTTTTCTAAGTCCGCCACTGGATGAACCGATAAATAATATAAAAAAACTAACAATCCAAAAAATTAAATATAATTCAATTATTTATACTTTCACTCGATATACATCAAATGCAATTATGTGAAATTTGTTTTGTTAATAAATAAAAAACTGCTATATACCTTCTTTGCCTTGATATTTTACATTGTTTCTAACTACACTCTGCAGTCTGCAATATTTTCTAAGTAGTTTCAAGTAAGCACAATGAATATACAAATCCTTTTTTTTTTTTTTTTTTTTTTGGAGTTAGGCGTAGGTCAATAAACTTAAAAACATGGCAAATTAAGAAACGAAAAAAATAAATAATATTGAGTTAGAAATTTACAAGAAGAAGTTGTACTCAAAATACACCAATCAAATAAAAAAATCCAATACAGGTGTCCTTAAGTTAAGCTTAAGATCATTCTCGTGCGGTGTTAAGTTCAAGTCCAAGTACAAATTGAACCTTTTACTTTTAGTACTTGCTCTATGCTTTCTCATGTGCCCTCCCAAGGCTTGTCCAATAGAAAACCCAAGCCCACAAATTGGGCAGAGGTGCATCTTGGTCTTGGGTTTCATGGTTGGGCTTCTTGGTAACCGGCACGAAAGGTGTGTGCCCATGAGCTTTATCTTCTTGTGGCTGGCTCTGTGGCCCCCAAGGGCTTGAAACGAAAGAAACTCCCTCTTACAAGTCTTGCACTTAAAAGCACCACCACGCTTCAAAGCTCTCTCTCTGGATGGGTTGGTGCAGCTTTCACCAACTTTAGATAGTAACATCAAACAATTAGCCATGTTTATCAAAGCCAAGTAGTACACGAAATAACGTTGTTTGAAACTACCAAATTATCAGAATGTTCTCTAGTTTTGGAAGCGAAGTGGTAGGTATATATATATTTTTTACTATAAGGTTATTGCACTATATATCATATATAGGTTCGGAGGGAAGTGAGTGACGCGGTTGAAGTGTTTACTTTGTAGTGAAGGAATGAACAAACAGTTGGATATTATGTGTAAGTATGCATCGAGACAAGATGTCTTAGGAGTTTTCGCGCTGGATTACTTGCTAAGTTTAAGATTGCGTGACCGCGTATTCGTGTCCACTGTTTCTCTTTGTCTTTGTTGAAGAACCCAACTGAAACTACTACTCACAGGGGAAATTATGACACGGTTTAATATATAAAGAAAGAAAAATGATATTTACACACTATTTCTGTTATATTATTTATTTATATAATGGGATGTGGGCAAAAAAAATAAAATAAAATATTTAGAAAGAGAAGAAAGAATAAAGATTACCACAACGCGTGGGGACTTCGAAAATTTGGTAAGTATGAAAGCGAGAAACGAAGAAGGGGGTTCAGTTGCAAGAAAAATATTACACTGTATTATAAGCTTCGTTAGTCAGTAAAATACTGAAAGGGAAAGAGGCAGTGACGACTAGAAGAAATGGAATAGTGATCGACAACATAGAGGTTGATCGATCCGGAAGAATCGGAATGTCCAACCAATTGTATTTGGATTTATACGCTCGTAGGAGTCTATATAATATACGCCGCAAAGGTGCACAATAATAATGACTTATAACTGTGAAGGTGTGTGGTGTGTGCATACTTGAAAAGCTTAACCCAAGGATTACTTATAGGTGTAAAATCCTAGAAGCCAAATTGTTGGGGATAGGAAAGATAGCTTTATCTCCCCGGAAAAATCTTTACCGCATGTTTGGTACATAATATAAGATAAGACTTTATAAGACCTGATAGTATAAGATTTGATTGAATTTTAATACTATCCAGCGTTTGCTACAGTATTATATAAAATAATATATTGTATAAGATAATATCATCTAGTATTTGATAATGCACTGTATTCCGGATGACTTAATCACATCTGAAGCCCAAAGGCCTTGTAACATGGATGGCCCAGTTTCACAGCCCCTAACAGCCTAAGCCCAGTACCCCAAGTTATATACACGTCAGCCCTACCGGTTGGCCCTAGACTCATGCCCCAAGGCAGCTCGCCTCCCCAGGTGAGACACCAAAATGTCTTACCTTGGAACCCCATATGCTCTGCGGGTCGCCCAGAGACCATAAGTGGAAACCGCCCTGCTGCCGCATGCTAACATCGCCCTAGAGCAGACTCTGCATCGCAGCAGCGCCTGGCGTGTCAGCCCCTCATAACGAATCCCAAGGAGCGTTGACCTCCTATACGAAAGCCCTAACGGATCAGACCCCTGGACTCCTATAAATACCACCCTTGGGCACAAGGGAAAGACTACCTTTTATGTACTGTTATTATGCCCATTTACTTCCCAGTTATACTCTTACTATTTGTCTACCATTAATATCAGCTTGCTACCCCTTGGAATATTACCTTCTAGCCTGTTCTTTACATCAGCTAGGGGTATAATCCATATAGTGACATTACCCTCAAGGGTACATAGTGGGCTCATAGTATCGAACGGTACACACTGTATAATACTATATATGATAAAAATAAATATTTTTAATAAAAATATCATTTAATAAAGAATTTATATAATTCTTCAAAGAATGTCATATGATATTAATTTTCATAAAAATTTATTGATCAGTGTGTCCAAAATATAAATTAATTTTTATAAAAATAAAAATATTCAATATTTTAAAAATTAATATATTGAAAAATTAATTTTTATTTTAATAGATTAATATTAAAATAATATATTAAATTTTGAGAATTACATTGGTCAATGATGTTAGTACATTAATCTTTTATCAGACCTTATCCCTCACCTTTAGATCGGATTAAGTTATACATCGTTTTGATGTATTAAGGGATTATACTGTATAAGCTTATACTATACGATGGTCACACCAAACAATATAAAATGTCATAACATATAATATAAACTTATACTATATTGTCTTATACGTCACATCAAACAGACCTTCAGTGCATTACCCACTTGGGTACTCTCTTCTGTAATGTGGCAGGAAATTTTTTCTTTTGAAAAGTAGAAGAAAATGTTCCACGTTTGAAAAAGAGAGTACCCACTTGGATACTCTCCTAACGCTAAAGATTTGTCCCTTACCTCTTAGGCATACACTCATTCTTAGTTGTTACTTCTAGAAGCTATGGCCATAGGATGGGTCATAACATTGGGGATTGAATAATGATATTGAAATTCTTTGAAATCTTAAGAAATTTGAGGAGCTTTAAAATTTTCATAAACGTGAACGTGAAAGCGCTTTTGAAGGATCACATGAAAATTTATCATTCTATTATGGAACTTTCAATTTCTTCAAAATTTAACATGAGGACAAAAAAATGTTTGAAGGCAACATTTGATAAGCCTATTTTCATATCATCCTTATAATCAGACACTGAACATGAATAAGAGAATTAAATATTTGGATGTCAAAATACTTGCACGCTAAATAGCTTAATAATTTCTAAAGGTTACGAGCACCAAAAAGTAGCTTAGTTTGAGATTTAATATAAAACTTAGACAGCCATGCTATGAAATACCCATGTGCTTGTTTACCGTATACTTTTTAAATACAACCTAGTTAGGCGATTAACAAATACATGTTTTATTTCTTAGCCACTTTCATTAACTACGGGAATTATTTATTTTTAAGTTTTTAGAAATGTTAGGTAAAAGAGTGTTATTAAATCTGACCCGGTTAGGATACTGGTCGGACCGGTTGACCCAGATAGATATATATATATATATATATATATATATATATATATATATATATATAAGGATCAGTGGCGGACACAGAAAATTATATGAAGAGGGGCAAAAATTTTAACAAATCCAACTTATAAAATTTTAAATAAAATATAATTTAACAAGTATACTAAATTGACGAATTTAAC